CTTGTTTACCTTCAAGCTTTTAAGACCCCAGACGCTATATCTTTTGATAGCCGGGCACCATCAGCTTTCTTCACCACATTTGCTTATTCGCCCACCAAATTTTCTTTAACATACTGTTAAATCCTTGAGACTCATACTCTTCTTGTGCTAGAGTCTAGTACTCTGAATCAAGTGTTTCTGTCACTTAGAATCAAATGAGACCTTTCTCCAGTTTCACTGGAAGCCATCAATAGAATTTTTTTTTTATTTGCAAATAAGCTCTTAAGTTTCTGGTGCTCAGTTAGCTAAATTCTATGAACAACTAAATTAAAATGTGACAAATATTATGGGCACTTAGTCATTGTCAGGCATGATTGCTTTGGCAATTTTCATGGACTTGTGTGCTGTGAGTATGATTTTACAGCCCTGTGTTATAATGTACTCATTTCCTGTAACGGACAGTTTCCTAGTTGTATACTGGAATCAAGCAAGTTCCTGAGTTCCAGCATCTTGCTTCATCCAGCCTTATGTTTTCCATTCTACAAACAGCATTTTCCAGCTCCTGTAGCACAGTGTGCTTTTACTTTCGTGCTTGGGCCTGAACTCTTATCTACCCGGAGTACTCCTTCACCTGTGCAATACATTGTCTATTATGCCTCATAGCAGATATATACTCTTTATGCAAGATGTTTATAAGCCTTCAACATTTAATACATTTAGTTAACTTAGCCTGCTTAAACTTTCATACCCAGGTTACTATAATATTTTCTTTGATAGGTAAAGAATAATTCACATTGAGGGCTCATTTATGTGTCTATTCAACAGATATTTTATTTAGTGCCCACAATATGCCAAACACTATTCTACACTCTGGAAAAAAACAGCAATGAACAAGCATACCCAGACCCCTGCCCTGGTGGAGCCTATAGTTTATGGGATAGGAAAACAGGATTGTATGGAGATGGCTCCCAAAGTAAAATGAAATTGTTCCTAAGCTCACAGTTAAGTACAGTTTGTGGGTGTGTCAGTCAAATGTTAGTCTGCGTGTGATGCATATAGTGTACCTTTCTACATGGAGACCTGATGGAGTCTCAGGTGAATGTTGGACTGCTAACTACAAGGTTCGCAATTCAGACCCACCATCAGGAGAAATATCAGTCTTATCTGTTCTCTTAAAGATTTACAAAGCTTCAAAAACCCTGTATAGGGTCACTATCAGTGAGACTGAACTTGACGGCAGTGGGTTTTTTTGTTTGATGCTGTTGCATGCATAAAAAATGTTAAACTTTCAGATACAGTGAGCGTCTTTAACACATTACAGTAGCAGTGATAATGTTGGATGCAGAGTAATATTTGTATGCACCTCAAATTTTTAACGTAATAGACTTAAGAGAATTAAGTCATTCATAAGTCATTGTATAAATTGGATGTCTGTAAGTCAAGAGCTGGGAAAAGATAAAGAAGGAAGGGCATAGAAAACTATGGGCTCCATGAGGGTAGTGGCAATATTAAAAGGATAGCCAGGGAAGACCTCACAGAGAAAGTGACTTTCCAGCAAATAACTGAAGGTGGTGACGGAGAGAACCATGGGGTTCTATGAGATGATAGGTACCAGTACAAAGGCCCTGAAACAGGAACGTGTCACATTGGAAAGTTCAGGAGACAAGTAAGAGGGTAAGTCATAGGAACAAAAGTGAAAAAAAGATGAGGGAAGGGCTAGACAGCATGGGGCTTTATGCGTTATTGAAAGGCTTTTACTCCATGGGGGCGGGGGGGGAAGAGG